GTTTGTGGCGCGCAGTATCGCGGCGGACCATAAGGACCTCATCCATGATGTCTCTTTCGACTTCCACGGGCGGCGGATGGCGACTTGCTCCAGCGACCAGAGCGTCAAGGTGCGCGAGGGCCTTCGGGAGTGGCCCAGCCTGGAAGAAGGGGGAGTATGAGGGCAGTGCCGGCGAAAGGGGATCTTCCGGACTTCGGGATGCGGCACTGTGCACGAGGCCTGGAGCTCCAGGGGGTGGCGGGCAAGCTCCGCCGGCCTGTGCCACCATCCCTGTACGCGCAGACAGACCTCTCTACCTCATATTGTGGGGTCACGGCGGATCCGGCGTCCGGCCACGTGCGCGCTCCCGCCGCCTGGGACGCTTTCCGGTGTCAAGTGGCGGTGGACGCAGTTGCCTTTGGCTTCCAAAAACCCCAGATCCCGCCTGCTGGGCCTCTGGGCTCTCCTATCCGCGCGGTGCCTGGGAGTCGTTGGCCTGACCTCACACTTGCTCAGCCAGGGCACTGTGAGATGGGACCTGTGGGGAAGTCATTTGTGTGCTCGCCCCTCACCTGGAGAGATTGTTCTCTGCTTATCTTCCGAGCGTAACTCACTTTGTTTCGCGAAGGAAGAAAAATATAAACCATTTACATCTGATAAAGTTCTCAACTTATTTAGGAGTTGGAGTGTTTGTTTCTTAAAATTCCTGTAAACGTCTGTGGACCGTTCCAAGAAGCAGAATTTATTGATATATCAGGAATGATGGCTGGAATTAGGAAACTCTGAAATGTTATAGGGAAAATGATAATATACTTGAAGATGTAAGCTGGAGTGTGGATAGTCTGCATTCCGGACTTCAAAATAGCTGAAATTCGAAGTCAGTTTTTCCTTTTTTTTCCACGTTCATTTGATACCAGTAAAAGATACAGTTGTTATTAACATCTAGTTACCCATCGAATAACCATAGTGTTGCAGTTTTTAAAAGGTTTGTCGTGGGGGCCCGCAGGAGGTGTGGTTGTTAAGAATGCACGACTTTAACATGGTCAGTTGTGGTTTTGAATCCTGGACTTGGCGGCTTGCTTTCTCACTTTCTATCCTTTTCTGGTCAAATTAAAAATAAATAAAAAAGTTAAATTCTAAAAGAAAAGTTTAGAGTGACTGTTAGAAAACTTATATATAAAAGAATACAAACAGTAAATTAACCATTCATTCATTCAGATATTGACTGAGAACCTTGAATATGCTGGGTTCTGGGCCAAGCACTAAGGGATGCAAGAAAGAGAGCTCTAATAAGTAAGCGAGATAATTACACTTCAGTCATCTCATTATTTGTGGGAGTTATACTCCATAACATTTTTATTGTAGTGAAGTACATAACCATTTTAATTTTTTTTTTTTAAAGGTTTTTGCCATAGGGTGTGTGTGCTTGTGGGAGAGACTGAGAGAGAATGTGAGAAATCACCCCTGTCCCAGCCAGGCTGGCCATCTGCAATCCCTTTTCCTCCACTTTCCTCCTGGGATTGTGGGCATGCACGCACATGTACCTGGCTGAATTTCAAGCCGCCGGATCTAGGACTTCAATTGTGGCTGGCTATGTGGGAGTCCAGCACCTTAACCACTACACTACCTGCTGCTGCTCCCCCCACCACCATTTTAAAGTGTGCGGGTCTTGGCATTAAGCACAGCATTCACATGTTATGCAACCATCACCACTCTCCATTGCCAGAACCTTTTCATGATCCTGAAGGTCTCCACCCATTAATTCCTACTTTCCCTCTGCCCTACTTTCTGTGAATTTGCTTAAGGCCATCTCTCTCTTTTTTTTTTTTTTTTTTTTTGAGAGAGGGGGGAGAGAGAGTGTTTGCTACAGGGTACATGTGCTTGCTGGAAAGAGAGACAGAGAGACAAAGTGAGAAATCACCCTCTAGGAGGGGTGACCACACCACAATCCCTTCTCCTTTCACCTTTCAGGTTTTTGAGCATGCATGCACGTGAACCTGGTGTGAGTTTTCAGCTGTCTGGTCCTGGACTCGAACTGTGGTCAACTACATGAGAGTCTAGCAACATAACCATTACACCCTCTGCTAGTCCCAGTATTTTCTTAATTTTCACTTTTGTGAACTTTTTGAAGTCTACTCACATATATGCTTAGAACCTCTGCATGCAAGATTTTATTATATTTTCTCCCCTTAGTGCTTGAGTGTCTTAATAATTACCATTTCTAATGGGTTACTACTTTTAAATTTTTATTTATTTATTTAATTCCATTTGTTATTATTATTTTTTAATTTGACCAGAGAGAGACAGAGGGAAGGGGAAGGGAGAAAACAAGCCACCCGGTCTGGGAGTTGAGCCGAGGTAGGCCATGTGGGAATCCAGTGCCTTTAACCACTATGCCACATGCTGGCCTGCTAATGGGTTAATCCTTAATGTCTTGTTACTTTAACAAGCCATATATTTTTTTCACTATCTACTTATTACTGATTCTTTAGTTAATTTTTCAATGTGTTGGTTATCTGTCAGAAATAGTGTGGTAATGGAAATCTGAATTTAGCATTTTATTTATCTTCAGTGATTCTAATTTTAGAAGAGAAATGAATGAATACTTAAAAAATTTTTTTTAAAAACAATTAATTTTATTACTATTTTTTAATTTGCTATAAAGCATATACACTTAAGGAGAAAGGGAAAGTGAAGAAGCAAGCCACCAGCTCTGAGACTTGAACCACTGTTGTTCATGTGGAAGTCCAGTGCCCTAATCACTACACCCCCTGCTGGCCCCAACTTACAGCTTCTGACAAGAGTTGGTAAATTGATTTTTTTTTTTTGCATGTCATACCATTTTACACCACCACTGAGAATTTTAAGAGATTTTTGCCATAGGGCACGTTCACTCACCAGAAAGAGAGAGACAGGGAGACAGCGAGAAATCACCCCCTAGGGGGATGGCTACACCATAATCCCTTCTCCTCTATTCTCTTCTCGGGATCATGGGCACACACGTACATGTGCCTGGTATGAGTTGAGTTTAAGTCACCAGGTCCGGGACTTGAACCGTGGTCGACTATATGGGAGTCCAGCGACATAGTCATACACTTACTGCTGGTCCCACCATTGAGAATATTGATTTGATGGCATCATTGCCAATGAGGGACATCATTTAGTGTTTTAACCTTGTTATAATCTATAGATATTTTGGTATTAATATTTTCCTTTAACGTACATTACAAATACAGTTTATCTTTGTTATTTGCAAATATGTGTTTGTGAATTTGCCTTCTTGCTGAAGTTTTATTTGTAACCCAAAGGTCAATGCTCACGGTTTTTGGAGTCATTGCCCAGTGTGTAGAGTGGTGAAAAATCACTGGATGCATTCATTCTCAGTTGAGATAGAACAATGTGACACTCTTATTTTGACTCATAGTATAAACAAATGTTCTTTCCACAAACTAATCAATGTCATGGTTTTTGCATTTTTGTTCTGGGGATTTCTTTCTTTTTTTTTTTGAGAGTATTTTTGCTTTTAGGGTACGTGCACTTGCTAAAGAGACAGAGAGTCAGAAAGCATAGCCACTGGGCGATGGCCATGCCACAATCCCTTCTCTCTTCTCCTCCTAGGATTTTGGGCACACATGAAAACTCGCCCAGCATGTCAGCTGCTAGATCCAGGATTCAAACTATTTTCTGCCATGTGGGAGTCCAGTTCCTTAACCACTGTGTCACCCGGTGGCCCCTCTTCTGGGAGTTTCAGCTATTTAAAATTATCTCCAAGTGCAGTACTGAAAGGCCACCATGCTATCTAGTTTTCATAACAAGAAGAAGGCTGTGATGTGCTTTATGGAGAATATGCATGTTTGATAAGCTTTCAGTTGTGAGTTACAGTACTTTTGGTTGTGAGTTCTGTGTTCATGAATCAACCATGCATATTAGATAGGTATCTCTACTAATTGGTTGATAAAAATGTTTGACCAGAGGCTCACGAGAATTTCAGTAATCAAGATGAATTTATGGAGCATAACTCCCACAAATAATGAGATGACTGAAATATAATTATCTCTCTTACTTATCAGAGCTCTCTGTCTTGCATCCCTTAGTGGTTGGCCTAGTGCCCAGCATATTCAAGATTCTCAGTCAATATTTGATTGAATGAATGAATGGTTAGTTTACTGTTTGTATTCTTTTATAAATAAGTTTTATGTTCACCTTTTTCCCTATATATTCATTTAGTTTTATAGTTTTTGTATCAATTTGTGGGAATTTTTTATATAAAATATCTGCTTTTTATTTTCTTTAGGTCTGGGATAAAAGTGAAAGTGGAGATTGGCATTGTACTGCCAGTTGGAAGGTTAGTATTAATTTTTACACTGATGTTAAAAAATGGAAATATGGGACAAGGAGATTGCATAATGGTTAGGTTGCTGAACTCCCACGTTGTTTACTGCACTTCGAGTCCTGGACCCTGTGGCTTAAAACTCAAGCTGTGTGTATATGCGTGCATGCCCATAATCCCGAGAAGAGAATGGAGGAGAAGGGACTGCAGCATGGGCATCCCCCCAGGGGTGATTTCTCACTTCCTGTCTCCTGTCTCTCTCTGGGGAGTGCACACACCGTACAGTAAAAATCTCTCTCTCAAAAATGGGGAGTGCAAACACCGTACAGTAAAAATCTCTCTCTCAAAAAAAAAAAAAGTTAAAATATTTTCTGTTTATTTGCTAGTATCAATGTCTTGCTGTTCAGCTTTGAAAAATTATAAGTTTATATTTCTTTTCTTAGAAAGGCATTTTATATTCTTTTACTATTAAATTGGCAGAAATATTAGAGAATTTGAGAGTAAGATAATCTGTAATTGTATAGCATTTTAACATACCTATTTTTTTTTTTTAAGTGTTTGTTTGCCATAGGGTGTGTGGACTTGCTGGGAGAGACAGAGAGACAGTGAGAGGGAAAGTGAGATATCACCTTTCTGGGGGATGGCCATGTTGCAGTCTTTTCTCCTTCATTCTCCTGGTTTTTTTTTTTTTTTCTTAACAAAAAGTTTATTATGGAAATGTACATGACCTGATTTTTACATCATAGTAAAAATGGGCCTGTTGACAAGGGGACATGGGTTTTTCTGTGGAACAGCCATTATTTATACTCGTTCCAAGGCTTCTAACATGACGATTCTATTTCCTCGTGTTACCACCATTCCAATATTGTTCTGTTGTCCACTAGTTGCCATCTCCACACATTCATCTATCACAAGATTCATAAATGGATCAAATCCCCGCAATATTCCTTGGACATGTCTGCCACCATTTAATTTTAATGATAACTTCTTGTCCATAAATTTTTTCTGTTTGGGAGGGTGAGCTTTGCTCATGGTACCAACTCGGCGGGCTCAGGGATGCCTTTGAACGGAATTCTCGGCCTCTTCACATTCCCGCGGCAGGCCCGGCGTTTTGCGTCTCCCTCCTGGGAATTTTTAAAAAAATTATTTATTTAATTTTATTTATTCATTTATTCGCTTTAATTTGAGCAGAAAGAGAGACACACACACAGGGAGAAAGAGAAAGTGAAAGCCCCCAGGTCCGGGATTTGAACCATAGTTGGCACTGCGGGAGCATCCAGCGTCTCAACCACCACACCACCTGCTGGTCCCTCTGCTGGGAATTTAAGCGTGCACGCCCATGTGCCCTGCATGATTTACAGGCCTCCAGGTACAGGACTCAAACACTGGTCAGCTACGTGGGAGTCCAGCATCCCTAACCACCATGCCAGCTGCCAGCCAGTCTGGTTAGACTTTTGAAGCAAGTAATTTTTTTTTTTTTTTTTTTAAGAGAGATTTTTGCTGTGGGGTACGTGTACTCGCCAAAGAGACAGAGAGACAGAGACAGAGTGGGAAATCACTCCCCTCCCAGGGGATGGCCATGCCACATCTCTTCTCGTCCATTCTCCTATCAGGATCTTGGGCATGCATACACATGTGCCCAGCATGAGTTTTAAGCTGCTGGGTCTGGGACTCGAGCTGCTGTCAACTAACTACATGGCAGTCCAGCTATGTTTCCATTATGCCATCTGTTGGTCCCAGCAAATAATTATTTTTTAAGAGAGGTTTTTTGCTGTAGGGCATGTGCACTCTCTGGAAAGACAAAGAGAGACAGAGACAGAAAGCAAGAAATTTTCCCCCCAGGGGGTATGACCATACCACAGTTCCTTCCCCATTCTCCTCTTGGGATCTTGGGCAGGCAAGTACACAGGCCTGGCGTGAGTGTAAGCCACCAGGTCAGGGACTCGAACTGTTATTGACTACGTGGAAGTCCAGCTACATAACCATTATGGCATCAGCTGGTCCTGCCAAGTAATAGTTTTTAAAAACAATATTTTATTTATTTGTTGAGCTGTAACTTGTATATCATAATATTCACCCACTTAAAAGTTTAACTTTTCACTTAAATGTTAATTATCTTGAGTCCAATGAGTGGTGAGGTGGCTTGGTGATTAAAGCACCTGGATCCCTCACGGCTGACTATGTGGTTGCAGTGTGGACCTTGCAGCTTGAAAAACATGCTGGTGCCTGTGTGTGCTCCAAAATCCCCTAGAGCAGAATGGAAGAGAAAGGATTGTGGTGTTGCCATTATTCTGGGAGTGGAGGATTTTTCTCTCTCTCTCTCTGGTGCCATATAGCAAAACTGAAAACATTAATAGGCATTCTCTCATTGAAGCAAGAATATGTGTTTTCTGTTTTCTCGAGTAAAACTTTGTGTGAGATATGAATAAACTGCCTTTTTTTCTTTTAAAAAAGGCAAAATCATAGTCCTGGGATACTCATCTTGTCTTTTGTTACTGTTTTTCTTATTTCCACAGACACATAGTGGATCTGTATGGCGTGTGACATGGGCTCATCCTGAATTTGGACAGGTGTTGGCTTCGTGTTCTTTTGATCGAACAGCTGCTGTATGGGAAGAAATAGTAGGAGAGTCAAATGATAAACTACGAGGACAGAGTCATTGGGTGAGACATTTATTAGTATTCTTGGGTAAGGGCAGACGTGTGCAGCCAGGCAGCATTAGTCTTTCCAGTATTCTTTTGGCACATCTTTTTTTTTTTATTATTTTTTAAAAGAGTTACTTACTTAATTATTTCCATTTTTTGTTATTTTTTAATTTGACCAGAGACAAAGAGAGTGAGAGATAAAGTGAGAGAGCAAGCCCCCAGGTCTGGGACTTGAGTCGAGGTTGGCCATGTAGGAATCCAACTCATTTGACCACAAGGCCACCAGCTGACCCCCTCTTTTTTTTATCTAATAGAGACTTTTGCAATAGGGCACATGTGCTTGCCACAGATAGACAGATAGACTGTGAGGAATCACCACCGTGGGGATGGCTACACCTCAATACCTTCTCCATTCTCCTCTTGAGATCTTAAGCATGTGCATACAAGAGCCTGACATGAGTTTTTTTGTTTTCGTTTTTTAAAGAATTATTTTTATTTAACTTTTCTTTTTCTAATTTGACCAGAGGGACAGGATGAGAGAACAAGAGAGAGAGAGGGTGGGGGGGAGAGAGAGAGAGAAAGCAAGCTGCCAGATCCAGGGCTTGAACCTGGTCAGCCATGTGGGTGTCCAGTGTCCTTTACCACCATGTTACCTGCTGGCTCCAACACCCAGCATGAGTTTTAAACCACCAGGTTTGGTACTCGAACCGTGATGGACTACATGGGAGTTTAGAGACGTAACCATTTTGCCATCTGCCATCCCTCTCTGGCCCTTAATATGTTACCACTTCTGTGTTTACTCATTCTGTGCTTTTCGCCTACTTGTTTATTTAACTTTGTCTTAGGCTTTAAGTGTACAAGGGAGTACCTATGACATTATTTAATTATAACTTTCTTGATGGATGGGTATTATTTGTTCTGTGCATGGTTTTATATGTTAGTATATTTCATATGGTTTTATATGACTGATATTAGCATACAATTTTCGAATAGCCTTTAAAAATTATTCTCTGTTGTGATTACTTTTACTTTGTTACATAATATACTCTTCTTTATCTACAGTTGCTTTTTTTTTTTTTTAGAGATATGTTTTTGCTATGGTGTGTGTGCTTAGCAGAGAGAAAGAGACAGAGAGATAACGTGAGAAATCACCCCCAGAGGGGATGGCCATGCTGCAATTCCTTCTCCTCCATTCTCCTTTTAGGATTTTGGGCATGAGCGTACATGTCTGGCATGAGTTTCAAGCCTGAGGGCCCAGGACTCAAACTGCATTTGGCCATGTGAGAGTCCAGCACCTTAATCACTATGCCACCCACTTCCCCTCTGCATTTGCTTTAAGCACCTAGTCTGCCCTGATTGGATGCGTGAATATGAATAGGAACTCAGTCTGTGTACTGCACTAGTTTTTTGTCTATAAAGTGAGAGAATTGAGCTAGATTACCTTTTTTTTGTGGGAGGTTTTTTTGCTTTCAGGTGCATGCACTCGCCAGACAGAGAGACAGAAAACGAGCAATCACCCCCCAGGGGGGATGGCCACGCTGCAATCCCTTCTCCTCTATCCTCCTCTCGGGATCTTGGGCACGCATGCACACGCACCCGGTGTGAGTTTTAAGCCACTGGGTCTGGGACGCGCATCGTGTTCGACTACATGGGAATCTAGCGACATAGCCACCACGCTAACTGCTGGTCCCTAGATTATCTTTTAAGACCTTTTCTAATGTTTTCATTTTTTTCTCCTCTGTAATTTATTTTTCACGGTAAATAATTAGACAGATGATATAAAATCCAGAGTGTATAAAAGGGAGTATACAGTGAGAACTTTCTCCTTTTCCTTTGCCACATAGTTCTCCTTTGAAGCAACCACAATTGTAGGGTCTTGCTTTGTGTGTGTGTTGTAGCTGTATCCTTCTTGGTAAGTGCTTTTTATTCACAAGCACACACATATCATTTTCTTCTTTGCTTTTATCATTTCCCACTCTCACACCTCACTAATGTTTGCATGCCATTGCTACTTTTCTTTTCTTTTTTTTTTTTTAATTTTCCATCCAAAATACACTGTGTACTGGTTCAATCAAGCACATCAACATACATGTTCTCAGCAAGTAATTTTCCAATTCTTACATCCTGCATACCTTGCCCTTTGTCTTGCCATCCCTGATTCCCCATCCCCCACCCTCTGCCATGTCCCATCTTCCTCCTCCATTGTCCCTGGCATCCATGGTTGCCCTCCATGCCTTCTGCCCCCCCCCATTCATTTGTTCTGCCAATGAGCTTAATTAGTCTAAATAATCCAATAGCTAGCACAGCTGACACATACCTATACAT